TGCTAGAATAAATAAAAGAATTGAATTGGTATAGGAAGATGAAGTATTCCTTTATCATTTCCCTTTTTATTTTTTATTTAAAAATAATTTTATTTTTGTTAATATAGATTAGACAAAGTACAAAAAAATCTGAAAAGTTATAAAGTTCTAAATTTTGTAAACACAATTGTATCTATAACATACTTGTACATATTGCGTAACCAATAATTTAGAGTCACTTTAACAAACTTTGATTAATTTAATCAGCACTATTTTATTAAATAATACAAATAAAGCTATTAAATTAATTAATTGAATTATGTTTAATATGTATTGAAATTATGTTTAGCAATGTACTGAAAAAAAGATTAAGAATAAATAATAAATTGTATATTAAAGATTTTATCTTAAAGCGATTCTACCGGCAGAGTTAATCATTGATTAAGTTAATCAAAGTTTGATCGAAGCTACCTTTAACTTTTCTTTTTATCTTCATTTATCTCTGGAATCGATTCTAAATTAAACACAAAGGAAGAGTGTTTTTTGGACCACGTCAAAATCACTTTAAACTGTGCTATTTTACTCGTATGTGCTTATTCCTCTGGATGGAACTCACAACCCACTAGAACCGTTTGTTGTTCAAGCAATTAGGTGCTGAGAATGAGGCACTCTTTCATCGCAGATTCATATAGAATATCACGCATAGCTACAATTCTGCTTCATTTCACCTCGTTATCAATGAGCCATCATACTTTTTCAAAAACTATTCGCATATATAGTGCATAAAATATGTCAAAACGGTTATTTTATCCTTTTGCCATTGCATTGAAATCGAGCTCCGTATTAATCAGTACCTTTTATTTTGACAAAGTATGCAAGTAATAATGTAGCTTATAAAAAATTGAACGATGAAACTTAGTAGTTTAAAGTTAATTTAGAGAACTCAGGACATTTAAAAAATGTGGGGAAGAAGCTACTTCTTAAATGTTAGGAAGAAGCTACTTCTTACATTCTGTGCTTCTTCTTCTTCTTCCTGCGTTAGACCTTCTGTGTTACACCTCTCTCTCTCTCTCAACGATTGTTCATAATGCAATTAAACAATGAAACTGAATTATAAAAAATAGTACACAACTAATATTGTAGAATGTGTCAAACAGCTCTAAATTGTTGCAAAACTAAATAGTTTAATATAGGAAAAACAATCGCTAATTAAACAAATGAAGCCACCAATAGCGCATAATACTAAAATCTATGTTGAGAACGCTAATCGAATAAGAAAGTGATAAACTAATAGAATTGAAAAAATAATCGCAAAATTAATTATCAGAATACTTTAATTTGAATAAAGCAAAAAAGCTTGTCCACTATTACTATATGCTGAACACTACTCTGTTACCAAAAAAAAACAATTAAAAAGAGAAAAACAATTACTTGTGGATTATTGTTATTTCTACAATTCAATAATGTACGTTTCGGATAAATTCTAGCCTTCTCAGCGAATATTTCAAGAGTTGTGTTTTATTGACTGATTACTGTACGTGGATACCATTTGCTAATCTTCATACATTTTTCCATGGCCGATTGATTAGCTGGATAATCTCAAGAAATTATGACTTTAAATATAAAATTAGTTATAATACGTTAAATAATAAAAAATGGAAAATAAATTGATGTAAAGAGTTACCTCATGAGTCAACGCACAAAGATGTAACAATAATCCATAAGTAATTAGCATTTGAACGTGTATATAATATAAAAATTGGAGTTTATTATAATACGTCGATAAAATAAAATTAGAAAACGTCAATAAAATAAAATTAAAGCAACGATGGTTGCAAGTCTCACATTGAAATGAAAATTAAACGACTAAAGTCAAATTTGTTTGTCATTTGATGTGAATAATCAATGATCAGTCAGAAAACAATGATAACAACGATTCAATAGTCCCACATCTGTTTTTAAATTATTGCCATTCTTTTAAAATATAATTTATAAAAAGGTATTCGCGGAAATGTACATCATTTAATTATTAAAATATATTATTTGGACTAAAAACTAATTTAATCACTGCGCACTACTTACAGCGCCGATTCCTAATTGCCTAATTTTATTTATCATTTAATTATTATTATTATAAGAAATCTTAAAATATTTCTTGATTTACCGTTATTATAATTTTGCAATACATAGAAATAACAATTTTGCATCTATTTAATTAATGAGTAAATTGAATAATTAGGAATTAACACTGTAAATAGCTAATATTACATTCAAGGTCTTAATTTGTTGAGAGCTCACCAACTGGCCATAAGAAAATTTATGAGGGATTAGTCAACAGAATCTACGCACGTATCAGTAAATAAAACACAATTCTTGAAATATTCGCTGAGAAGGCTAGAATTTTTAGCTGAAACGTATTTATTTAGCCGAAACGTATTCATCATTGAATTGTAGAAATATATCATAAGACTATAATGATTTTAGTCATTTAAGTGCACCACTTACAGCGCCTATTCCTAATTGCTCATACTTTACTCATTATTTAATTATTATTGTCATAAGGAATCTTACTTTTGTAATTTGTTATCTATAGTTTATATTAAAAATTTCCAATGCGGCGTTAAATTTTTTTTTTTACTTCATCATTTTCTTTTACAAAGAATCTGATAAAGAACTATTTCCTTTTTCTAAAAAAACAATTATTTTGTCCTTGATAGCAAGTAAAGTTAGCAGGAAAATATTGAAAAATATATAAATGTAGCAGTTAAATTAATTTATGCTATTAATAAAATTTAAATTTTTATAAAATTTAAGATTAAAACGCACAGTTTACTTGAACAAAAATAATAAAAACTTCTATGGACGTTATTTTCAGGTTGTCTCTAATATAATTTGGATATTTCTGATAACGTGATTTGATATTACCCCAAACAAGTATAACATTCGCAATTATATTAACTAATCTTTTATATAATTTTATTTTAACACGAACACGTTTTGCAAAAAAATATGTTATGTTATCCAAATTTAAATATTAATTATTATTATATGGAAAATACAATAATAAAATAATAATAAAATTTTTTAATTTACAAGAAGTCAGTAATTAGAATTCAGATTAAATCGTGTAAATATTTTTATTAATTTAAAATATTTTTAATATACGTTTTATAAATTTTTAGTACTATAAATTTTTATTTAGTAACATAAATCACTGACAAGCATTTAAATTCTATAATGAATCATACATATACGAGGCATTAAAAAATCATATCTAAATCTATTCTTTGTTGCTACACTAAACTTTCTATCTTACTTTGACTAAATTTCAAATGTACATTAATTTTATTTTAAATTCGAGTATATGTTCACAAAACAATTGTTGTACAATTACTTTAAAAATATAAATCTCAGTGATATTATTGTATTCCTATTCATTCTTTTTATTTTAACCCAAAGATAACTTTAATTTTCCGAAAAAATAATTATATCACAAAATTACACCAATTAAAATAAAGTGTATAAAATAAAGTATCCTGTTTGAGTTGTAATGTTTTTTTATAATACGTATAAAATAATACTAAATAATACGTATTCTCGAATTCTTACTCCAGAATAATTCTATTTCAACTTAAATGGTAGTACTTCTTTGTATAATAAAAGAAAAATTTGTAACATATGCAAAATTCTAATGAGAGAAAGTGCTAGTGTATGTAAAAGAAATTTTAACATTTATAAATCAGCGATATTGGAGAAGCAACGCACAAACGGGAGCTATTATTAACTCTTCCGCATTAACGGAAAGGTTTTATTCAATCGATGTACAGAGACTATAGCAAAAGATGCTATCGTTTGTGGAATTGAAGTCGACATTTGTATAAGAGCTCCGTTTTTGCTTCTGCTATACAGTAGCGTCTACATGGCGACTAAAAGTAACCTTTCCGACAATGCAAGAACAATGAATAGCTCTTGCTCATGCGCTGTATGTACCCAAAGTTGCTGAGTTCATAAATATCAGAGTTGCTTTTTTATAGCTGGGACCTACCTTCTATTATTAAAATTAATATTTTGTGACCCGATCTATACCAGCACTGAAAACCTTTACGTAACCATAAATTTTCAATACTGGCAATATATCTCATAACACTCTGTATATTTAGTGTAACAGTTCTAGTTTTTTATGTGCAATATTTTGGAATGTTAAGTTAAAACAAAAAAATACAACATATTACTTAGGTCAAAATAAAATATATTATTCTTAAATGGAAATTCGTAAATGCATACCACTTAGGCTCAGTTGAATAGTATAACGGGTATAAATTTGATTTTAATTAGTGCAATTTTGTGATATTATTTTTTTAAGGAGAATTAAAGTTATATATTACTACTTGGATTGGAATATGAAAAATGAAAATACAAAGAAACGTACCATTCGAGATTTATTTTTTAAAAGTAGCTGCAGTTACTTTTCAAGAAATTTAGTATCTTTATTATTTTTTTTAAAGATAATTTTATAATGATTTTTTTTTATTAAGAGAAACTTAAATTAGTATTAAACATGACTAAAACTTAGGTTGTTGTGCTAAAAATACCATCATATTTTTTATGACTTGAGTAATTTTTTATCTTTTTATATTTTTTCTATCCATTTTAATTTTGAAAAAGTTACATCATGTAGATTACATAGTATGAAGATGTAAGACAAAAAAAATATTTGGATATACAATGTGTTAAAACAATATTTTATTAGATATTTATAAATTTATGTTTATAAAGAAGTTACAATTTCACTTTTTTCTCTTTGGCTAAAAAGAATTAATTTACTACATGGCATATACATTAAACTATAAAATCATTTTTGATTGATAATAAGGCTTTACACAGATGATAATTAGAGATAGATTTCTAAGATGATATTTTTTTTCTTTCCCCTTCCCTTAAATTTATGCTCGCGGTGGGAGCCGTTTAACTTCTCCTCCTAGATACGTCGCTGCTTGCACTTATAATCAGCAGCACGAGATATGAGATCAGTCATAAAATCGGAGTTCAATGCACAGTCCGTCATATACGTAACTAAAGTACTTAATGATTATTCATGCACTTGTGCTATCTTGTACTATAAATATCAGTTCTTTAATTAATGAATTGACGAAGTTAATTTTATGAAGTGTCTAGAAAAAAATGGCGAAAACAAACTATAAAAATAACGTTGCAAGAATAGTGGATAACGATTGCAAGATCCATATGGAGGAATCGGAAAAGTTGCTGGAACTCGAGAAATCGCGGAACGCCCAAATGTGCATCGAATTCAATGATCTTTGTTATTCAGTTCATCATAACCATAAAAGCAAGTTTATTTGTCATCTCTACAAAAGTCGAATTTTTTTTTGCGTTCTCGGTAATCTGACAAATTTTTTTTTAGATCGGAATGTTGACGTATATCGTCATATATCGTTGATATATATGTGTCACGGTACATGTTGTAAATATAGTAGTTACATTTTGCGTACTAAAAGCGTCCGTCGATGACGTCACGAATGTATATTGCAGAGTATTAATTCGCTAGGTCATAGTAGCGGCCCGACTTATCGACGTTTATTTTTTATTCAAATACTACTACTAACTTTACAGAAAAACTGCAAGAGACAAAAATCATTTACTTTCTTCTCATAGAACTCTAAGAATTTTTTCAGAATATTTATCAACTTTTTAGTACTGCATGTTCTTATTTTCGATAAGTCGGGCCGCTATTATGACTCAGTGAATTAATGCACTGTACATTCACTTAGATATTAGGTGTAGTAAAAAGTCATCGCGTTTTTTTAAAAGACATCTATCAGTAAAAACCGCAATTACTTTCTTACCAACAATATAAATATATCTTGATAGAGTAAATTCAGCTTTAAAAATCTCTTTTTTAAATTATACGATACGACCATTTTTAATGGAGTTATGAGCAATTAAAGTCAAAATAATTCTTTTATTTAATCCGCGATAACTCAGTAATCAAAAGTCGTAGGAATATTTAAAAAAAACGATTTTGTAGGGAAAGTATCAAGCTTTCACGATATGTAATCGAAAATTTTCTCAAATTTGTTTTGGACACGTTACAAATCCACAAAGTGAGAAGAAAATTTTTCGTCTTTTTCAGCTCGTAGTTTTTGGTATGTAAAAATTATCAAACTCATATAAACTTAAAAAATGTGATAAGCTTTTAAAAGTAGAGATTTCAAGCTTTAAAACCCTTTTTTTAAATTTGAATTTCATTCATTATTGACGAAGATATTGTATATACAACTTTGAGCTAAAAAATACGCGATGACTTTTTACTACACCTAATATTATAAATGTTAGTATCTCACACAAGACTTCTACATAGAAGTCTGTAGTGTAGCACCAGAAATATTTCTCAAAAATATTTTAAATAAAAAATGAAACATTTAAAAGTCGCGAAACATATCTGCAATATTTTCTGAGACAGTTCTGAAATAGCAAAATGTCCGCGATTCTTGCAATTAAAATCTTATAGAAAAATTGCTAAAAGGTTATTCAAAAAAACCTATAACCTTTTTAAAATATTGCTAAAGAGTTATTAAAATTGCTAAAACTTTTCTGAAATACGTCAGAAATGTTGCTGAAAATTTATTAAAATTACTTTGAAATAAAAATATGAATAATAGTATCTTATAATATTAGTAATTGAATACTTTTAAATATAGGCTTCGTTCAGCAGAACGATTATTTTACAACTGTTAAAAGATTTTTTCGCGTTAATTGGATTATACTTTATAGCTAGAAAAATTACCTTATCTCAGCAGGTAATAAAACGATTGCAAAACTGTTATACTCTGCTGAATACAGCTATAGTGAAAGACACAGGTCAAACACTTTTAACAATTTCAGTGTCGTCCTTAAGACCGAGCATCGCGCGCTATAATAAACGACAATGGATTGAAATGGATTCAGATTTTTAGAAATATTGATTCACGAATATTAAAATATTTAAATGCTTTTCAATCCTGAATGCATGTTTATTCATTTATAGGAATTGCATGGAGCATATCTCTATGCCTTTCAATCTAAAAATAATATTAGCTTTTTCTGTACATTGTGAGAATACTGTTTAATTTAACATTTTGAATAGGAGATGCAGTTTTTCAATCCAATTACATCCAATTGAATCTAATTGAATCCAATTAAATCCAATTAAATCCAAAAAAAGTATTCGCTATTTAAAATACGCATAAATTCGGATAAAAAAAAGTTTCAATCCATTTTAATCCATTCTTGTTTGCTGGGAAAACAGCAATGAAGTGAGGAGTAGGAACGGTAACGGTACACTGACACATCAATATCAGGCCAAAAGACTCCGATCTTAGACAGCTCTGCTTAATACCATCGAGATCTTTGTAATATTCTTCGTAATAATCGATCAATAGTACATGTACGAAAACAAATATCTTTATTTCAGTAATATAAACAATAAGAATCTTATTCTATCGTACATGTAAATACACAATCAATAAGAAATAAAGTCCATATAACGATCAAAGCTGAATCTTTAATGTTTAAATAATTTCATGTATGTAATATTTCATGAATTTATATGTATGTACTATGTATGTAATTATTGAATTGCGAGTCGAATTGATTTTTCGAACTAATTGTATGCATTTTTACATTATCCACTGATTCAGAAGCGATCACGGCTAAAGCTATATCTTCATTTTCAAGAACATCTCCAGAAGACGAAGATAGTCGCGGTTGCTTCTAGTTGTGACGAAAAAAAACACTTCATGACGTATGTCGCGTTTTTTATGTCGCTTCAGCATAGTTAAAGAAAAATATATTATTTTATAGAGAGAGAGACTGAAAAAACGATCTTACATAATGTAACGGGATACTTCGAACGGAGGAAAGTCACGGTGATAATCGGTCCTTCCGGTGCGGGAAAGACCACTCTGCTGAAAATCATATCAGGCAAACGATTGACCGACATTAAGGGCACCATTACCATAAACGGCGTTGAACGAAATAAAGGGACATTCCGGAAACAGGTGTGCTACGTGCCGCAACAATTGGCTCTATTACCGTTTCTCACAACTAGAGAAACTCTTTATATAGCGGCTCGACTGAAACTTGATATTAATCAGAATAAAGAAGCGATTTGTTCAATTGTAAGTAAAACATAAATAAGAAAATTTTCAAACGTGTTCATAGAGAACAAGATGTCATTATGGCCTTGTAGATACTCTCTAAATCTATGGATAATCACTGATATCAGTGCCAAGTATGCCACTAGTAATCAGTGAATTAAATATGAGATCCTTAACTTAGCTAATCTTTATTATGTGATCTAACTAACCGCCCAGAAAACGAAAATGGATTGAAATAAATTGAAAATTTTCATTTTTAAATGAAACAATGAATTTTCTACTCACAATTTTAAATTAAATGGTATTCATGGCCCATTTTAAGAAGATAGGCTATTAAAAAAAACTTTTTTTTTATTTAATTAAAAAACTGCATTTCCTATTCAGAATTTTAAATTAAACAGTATTCATAATGCACACAAAATATTATAATATTATTTTTTGAATTTCATAGATTGAAAAACACAGAAATATACTCCATGCAATTTCTATAAATAAATAAAAATGTAAATAATAAAAAGCGTACAGCCACAACACTATAGACGTTAACGCAAGTCATATATTTAAAATTCACAAATAAATAAGTATTTACTTATTTGTTTGTGAATTCTAAATATACTTATTTATTTGTGATTTATTTTAAATATATGACTTGCGTTAAAATCTAATGTTGTGGTTGTCATTGTTATGCTCTTTATTATTTATATTTTGTAATTGTTTAGCCACTTTCAAACATTTTACATTGAATAAAAATGCATTTAGCATTGAAAAGCATTCATTTTAACATTCGTGAATCAATATTTCTGAAAATCTGAATCCATTTCGATTCATTTCAATTCATTCTTGTGTGCTGGGATACTAATATTTATATAATACTTAGCATTTAATACTTAGCATTTATCATTTTTACTTTCGAGCATTTTGAAACGTTTTCAACAGAAACACAACAAATTATATAAAACAAATTATTTAACTGACATTGAAATGAATCGGAAATGATTAAAAAATGACTTTTAATAATCATTTTGGAATCGTTTTGACATCATAATGACTTGTATTCTGCTTGGGCATATTTCTCTTAAACTTAAGTGTATTCAAAAGAAATTTAGAGATGACAGGACAATAGGAATCGGACGCAGTAATTGTTGTGCAAATAATATACAGATATAACACAAAATTCTTTATTATATAATAACACGCTTACATGTTTCGGCTTATTTTTTAGCCCTCTTTAGAGACATAAATCACCTTTATAGAATGTATACGTAATAACTATCTTGTCATAATGAACTTCTTCCACTACATAAAAAATACTTATTAATTTATTGCCTAAATTCGTAATTTGTAAATTTTTATTTTAAGCAATAGTTTCTGAAATAAGGTTTAAATATTGTCAATTACAGACTACGTTTAGATGATTACCTGTGAGTATTAGTGAGCGTTGAAAGAGAGAGAGAGATAGAGATAGAGAGAGAGAGAGAGAGAGAGAGAGAGAGAGAGAGAGAGAGAGAGAGAGAGAGATGCACTTACTAATACTACATACGGCCATCTAAATATAATCTATAACTGTTTATATTTAAAGCTTTATTATCTAAAAAATTATTGTTTAAAATAAAAATTTACAAATAACTTTCTTATTTTATTTTATTAGAACCTTGATAATATTTTGAGTCTCGAATTTTAATACATCCTTTATATTAGTATAAAAGTATAATAGTATATATATATATATATATATATATA